TTTAAAGTCAATCAGATATTAACTTTAGCCTCTAGAGCGTCCACAAGCAAATGTGGACGCCGGACCGCCGGACAGGGTTACGACAATATACGACCACATTTCAATGTGGGCGTATAAAAACATATTTAATTGCAGTGCCAAATCTACCAAAATGCATGCTCTAAATCAAATGTGATGAGAAAACAGTTATAATACACAGTGAGAAGAAAATCTAAATGTTGTGGCATTCCATTCCCTAAATAAAATATCTTGTGGGCTATGAGTATGAAGTATATATGAATGGTGAACCCTAATCCATTTTAAATCTATAAATCCTAAGATTACAACCCTAACTTAGCAATAGATGAAGTGTGTTGTATTGCTAATTATGACAAATTATGACTAGACAGCTGTCCTTGTCAGGCCCTCCGTCCTGCACCACTGACAAGGGGAAACCACGCTGGAAAATCTTGATGAACTTTCCCGGCCAACACCAGGAGCGAAACCGAGACCTCCAGACTAGCGAGCCAGATTCTTACCCACTTAACCACCATGGATCTCCTGTTAAAAATAAGGTGTTCTGGTTGTACTATCATTCATAACCTAATTAATCTTGAGAAACATATCTTTAATGTGACAATACTGAAAAGATACGCTGCATTTTTAGCACTAATTAAAATTATGGCTTACAGTCTGCTGCACCAAGTACCAGTGCCCTACTGACTGAAGAGTGATTAACCAAATTCCATTTTGCACTCATCATGATCACTGTTCAACACATTATAACTGTAGGTAAATTACACACATGGAATTAATCAAATCATCCTTCCACAATAAATATCTGAACAACAGTTCCAATGTTAACATCACATAACACATGTTTTGCAGACTAACTAAAAATACACAAACATTTCAGACCATTCATTATACAGTTGTTAACACCATGTGCTTCTTCTTTTGGTTTAAATTTCGGAAAGTTGCGAACATGACCCCCTCTAAAATATATGTTATACATGCAGTATATGGCCTTAAGCTAACAAATCCAAAATTATACCTCCCTAGGTCGAAATTACAGAACTGAAACGGATCATAAATTCAGTAATTTTTTTCAGGTTTTTGGGTGCTTTAAACTCACATTTCTAATAGGAGTAGAACGCTCTAACTTTGTAATCTAAGACAACTTTTGGTGTAGATTACAAATTTAGCATCACACACAATGTGCGATTCACACAGTTCGTGCCACCAGGTGACAAAATGTGGAACAAATGAACTATTCACTGGCAAAGTCACTACTGTATACAAAACCTCCCAAATTGGCATAGTTAATGTCAGTTTGTCTTTTATCAATTTACAAACGTACAAAAAAGTCCATTTTCACTTTCAATTTTGGTTATGTGGGACAAAGGTTAAAATTCTGAAAAAGTTTGATAATGAAACTTCAATTACCCTACTATAACATACAAGAAAGTTGAAGTACAGTAATGTTGTTACACTATCACCAAACACCTGAAAAACACAGGCCGCAATCCTTAACGCATGGTCTTGAAACTTGCATACTTATTCCTTATACCCTAAGGATGTTTTCTATTGTTTTTGGTGCATGCCCAACCCTCAGGGTCAGAGCCACACCCATTTTTCTTTGTGTGTCTGTGTGTATTTGCCAACAGACTGCAATTCTTAATGGAACGTCTTGAAAACTTTTCATATATATATATTCCTAGAATGATTGTTATTATTTTTGGTGCATACCCGACCCCCAGGGGCACAGCAACAACAGATTTTTGTGTTATCATCCACAGACTGCAATTCCAAACTTCCAAAGGACGGCAACTATTGATTTTGGTGCATGCCCGACCCCTGTCAAGTTCCAAGATGATCCATTCAGAATTGCGTCCCCTAGGCGATAAACATAAAAAAAAGTTTGTTGCTGTGCGCCAGGGGGTCAGGCATGCACCAAAAATAATAGCTGTCATCCTGAAGGTACAAGAAATACATGTAAGTCAGCGGTGCACAATTCCCATCGCCCGACACAGGTTAATTTTTGTGTTGGACAGCTGAAATTTTGCATTCCATTCACCTGCGGACAGGTCGATTTTCTCTGACAGAAATTCTTTGAAATTGAACAATACTTTGTGATTATTTAAAGCATTTTAGTTCCAGTAAGCGCAATAATAATAGCCGAATAGATTCTATTCAGGCACAATAACTTACTAAGCACACGATAGTTCTACCGGTAATAGCTTTCGGTACTAAAAATAACTTTTCTAAAATTAATGAGTATTGTCGAATGACAACATTCCTTAACGGAGATACCACAATTTTTTTTTCTCTGTGTATTTTGTGAAAATATGTCTTCCTTTTATTGTCATTCACTGCATTTATTGTTTAATGATACATAAATATTGTTAAATACTCCCAAGTGTTCATTTCACGAAGATTGCAAACAGTGTAATAATATAGCGTTTTTACATCACGTGTCTTCTCGCTCACTTTTCCACATGACCAGTGGTACTGTTAGAATTATCCCTGTTTCATGAATTATCTATACCCACACTTTGATTTTCCAAAGGAATCATTGATTTTCTGATTAAAATATACTTTATGTAGGTAGAAATGTGAAAAATGCTAACAATAGTGAGAGGTACCGGTAGACTGAATGACATTGTGTCATAGTGGTCCGTAAATCGCATGATCCGAAAAAGGCTATTTATTTGACTTAGTTTATGGGCATTTTTTGAGAAAGCACTCATAAGTCATATTGTATAGTTTAATTTAGTATTCTTGTATTGTAATATTTGATTTTCAATATGGCATACACTTAAATTGAACCCGTAGCTATAAAAACGACCGATAGAACAACACAAACTTTTTCTGATATTTTTTTCCTTTTTATCCCTCCGTTTATGGTTGTTGCTGTCTATTACAATTATAACATCCAATACATTATTTATGATAATATGGATAGGTTGAGACAGTATTGAAACATTTGGATGCTTAAATATTTGTTACTTTGTTATTATTTTTATGTTTAGTCATTAAAATAAATTAAAAACAAAACAACCTTATTTTTATATTCAGGGCAGGTGTATTTTTCTGTAGGGCTAGCAAATTTTGTCATGAAACCTGCCCATGGGCTAGTGGTTCAAAAGTGAAATTGTGCACCCCTGTTTAAGTATGAAAAGTTTTCAAAATGAACAAAACACACAGGCACACAAAGAAAAAAAAGGCGTGGCTCTGACCCTGGGGGTTGGTCATGCATGAAAAACAACAGCTAACAATAACATTCTTAATGTATAAGGAATATGTTTGCACAACTTCAAGATAATCGGTTAAGAATTGTTGCTTGTAGGCGACAAACTGACACATACAAACATTGAACGTGGCTCTCTGCGCCTGGGGGTCTGGTTGCACCAAAAACGTCCTTAGGGTACAAGGAATAATTAGTACATGTACTGGTATGCAAAGTTTCACAATAATGCATTAAGAATTGCGGCCTGTAGTTTTGAGGCGTTTTGTGATAGTGAAGCTACATATGTAGATGTTCAACTTTCTAAGCATACAAAACAAGTTTTCACCTGTTTTTAAAGCAATACTAAATTGAAACTATACTAGACCGGTAAATTTCACCTTTTGACCTCCTGGGTCACTAAGACTAATGGTGAATTTAGCAAGTTTACATTTTTATTGAAAGTGTGATTACTTTAGATCATTTTCAGCTTCTTTTCATAATGACTGCGCATTCACTTTCAGTGCAAATGAACCCATTTGACCTTTGAACCCGAATATCTCGAAAATGCCCCAACGGCAGATTAATTACCAATCGGCAACGTATTCTACGCAAAATTTTACTCTAGAAAAGTTGGGTATGGTTTTGTGCCCATTTGATGGACCCCCCTACTCTGAGCCTCCAGACTATACTCCCTGGATCCCAAAAGAGTTGATCTCAAATGACAAATATGAGGGGTCTAAGTCTTTCAGAAATAATTTTAATCTGATCGTCAGAACCCAATATTCCAATTTGTGAAGCATATTATTAATTAACCTGTTTGTTCTCATTTTGGAAGCAAAATAAAATTTAACCAATACAATGTACATCCAAAATGATTACATATTTGTAATCTATGCAAAATGAAACTGTAAATAGACACGACTGAGGAGTATAGGTCATAAAAGTTCTTTAAAATCAACATGAAAAGTCAACCATTTTGATAATACTAATAGCCATCACCGCAAAGATTTCAAGTGCCAATTAACAATATAAAGCCCCCGTCAGACCGGGTCGGTGTCCTTACTTTTTCCCACATGGCCAAAATTGAAGGTGAAAGTGGGTACATTTTGTACGTTTTCAGTGTGCATTGAATTTCGAGACAGACTATTTGGAAAAGTATATATATCCCATCAACTCAGAATCTTTTGTAAATTGATAAAAAACAAACTGACATTAACTATGCCAATTTTGGAGTTTGTGTATACAATAGTATACAGAGACTGTGGAAATCCGGAAAATAAAAGTGAATAGTTCATTTGTTTCACATTTTGCCACCTGGTCGCGCAAAGAGTATGCATTGGACAATGAGTGTGATGCCAAATTCGTAATCTACCTCAAAAACGTTGTCTTAGTTTACAAAGTTAGCGAGTTCTATTCCTGTTAGAAATGTGAGTTTAAAGCATTACTGAATTTATGATTTGTTCAGTACCCCAATTTCAAATGACCATATCTCCGCGAGTTTTTGACCTAGAGAGGTAAAATTTCGGATTTGTAAGTTTAAGCCAATATACTATAACATATATTTTTTATAATTTTTTTGGAGGGGGTCATGTTCCCACCATTGGTCCAGTTGATATGGAATGACCCATAGGAGAAATCAGTAATACGCAGGTTGTGATTGGAGTGACCAAAGGAATAAGATGAAATATCTAGTTTGAGAATGCAATATTTTGAGAAATGTTGTACTTTTGGGAACTGATGAGATTGGGAGGGTTAAACTTTTTGTGCAGACAGTTAAAGAAGAAATTGTTACCTATCACTAAGAACAAGTCCTTCTTGACTAGGTGGTACTACAGATAGTTGGTATGGAGTGTTGAAGTAATGCTGTTGTTCTTGGGAGCGATGGACTACTTGATTGTCTCGTATCAATAAGTAGCCACTATCACCCAAATTAGCTGTATAGATGGTTCTTTCCTCACGATGTAAAGAAACAATGCAAGCTGTACTGCTACCTGAAAAATAAAATCATAATAATAGAAAATAAACAAGTTGGGTTACCAGGCAATGAAACATATTAAAGCAGCAAAGTTGTTCGAGCAGTCAACAGAGGTTGTCGCGTGTTTATTCTTTTGTATGTAATAGGAGCATTTATAATACGCAGTTACAATATAGTAATCAGGATTTTTTATTTAAACAAGGATCATAAAAGTCCAGTTGCCAAACCCCATTTTAAAGTAGATAAGTCTCTAACTTAATATCATCCAAAGTCTTCGACATTGGAAACACGAATTATTTGTCAATTTAAATCAACGTTGATGTGATCTTACCCTGAAAAGATGGGCTTCTGATATCCAATATTTAAGACAAAATAAACATTTTAACATTGGTATCGTGTACCATAAAGCGTTTCAGCGCCATTTGTAACAAGGGACTCGAAGATAAAAATTGTGACCTCTAGAGGGTCCACAACCTTCGTATTACACACTTCTACACAATTTGTGTACAAAGAGCGGCCATTTTGTCAAGCAGTTCCATTTTGATTTTCCCGAAATTCGTATCCAACCTTCATTATGTGGGCGTATAAAAACTTATGTATCACACGAGTAAGAGCAAAAATTACAGGGCCAAATGAACAGAAGCTACGGAGAGCGAATTGTCAAGCATAAATTATGATCCGATTTGACACCCGTCCGTGTCACATTCTCCACTAGAAAACTGAGTGGAATAACGGATGGAAAATGTTTGTCAGCGTGATACACAACCCCAACTTTATCAATGACGAAATAACTGGCAAGACAAATGTCATCCCTGTTGCATGACATGAATGGGCTGTTCTACCGATTGCAAGTATTGCAGTGATTCAAGAGAGGGTGAGTTAGATAAATACCGGAGTTTTGCACAAGACAAAAATGTGAGCCACAGTCATTAGAAACATTTGCTTTCAACTCACGATGGTCAGACAGCTGATTGTGTTTGACCGTGCATAATTTGTGTCCTTATAAGAATATAAGGCGAAGAATATCATCGGTTGGAATACCCTCTGGTCAAACTTGTTTTTATCTTCATATCTGAAGAAATTGACAACCAAAAAATATATTTCAATATATTATCACATTTAAAATTAAAGTAAATAACCAGAAAATGCCTCATGACAGCCATCTTGAATATTTCAATTTCCCAAAGGATGCCAAGTTGGCATCATCTGGATTTTGAAACCACACATACCACTGAATACCAGTATATTGAAGATATATAATACAACGAAAACATATTTTTCAATATATTACACACCTTTGTAGGGAACTTTATAAGTTTCCTGCCAAAATAAGCCACCATTTTGAATTTGGCCCCCTAGCGGACATAGCCGTCACTTTTAGGAGGAATACCAAAGCTCATTGGATTCAGCGGGTCGAATTCTTATGGAAACCATCTTCAAACTGAAGTCTGAGAGAATCTGTCACATATTTTACCACACTAAATAACCATAAAATGGCTCAAGGCAGCCATCTTGAATATCTAAATTTCCTTAAGATTGCCAGGGTGGCATCATCCGGATTCTGAATCTACACATACTGAAGGTATATAATCCATCAAAAAACATCAGGTGGACTATATTTCCAGGTTTGTCGACCTGCTGCCGGACTATAAATCATTAGTTGTTCAAAAAGTGAGACAAGGGCCATAAGCAATTAACAGAAATTGTTGAAATTCAATAGGCTCCTTGACTAATTCGAATAATGCTTATAAATCTCATACAGATTGATCATTTTACAAAGCATCGAGCAATTAATAAATACCATTAACTTAACCTGAGCCCAATTATCAATATGATGATTATTGATGTAATGAACCTACATGTATATACCAGAATCGAGTTTCATTACTCTCACCCAATTAGATTCAAAGTTATCGTGTTCCAAAGCATGGGCAAATTATCCAAACAGAAAATGCTCATCATCAATGTTAGTCATAGTATTGACCATTCTATCTCAATTAGAAAGTTGTTGTGTTCTAAAGTCTTGTCAATCAAATTGTTTATCTCTGCTTAGCCCAAAGCAGATGATGCTGATCAACGAATTCAGTCAAGACATAAACTTAATGAACATCTACACCAAAATTGAACAGACCACCTCAATTTAAAGCAGAATTTAATTTTAAATTCCAAGCTAACCAATTATTTTCAGCTTGTAAATTTCTATGAAAAACTAGCAAATACAAGCAACACTGTTCTGTATTAGTATTACTACATGCGAATAGATCAAAGGACCTACAGGGGACTCTACTATTAAAAATACATGAAAGTGTGGCTCACATCAGTCATTGTTTTTTTAAGGCGAGCGATCGCTCTCGAGCACCTGCCGCTCACCTGAATGTCGACAGAGGGGAGTTTTTTTTCCCTCCCCTTAAAACTGAAAATCGCTCTCCTTTACATAGTCATTGGGGGTTTATTATCATCAATGAAACCAGGAATGACCCCATTACATGCAGTTATTGAAACTTAGAACCATATCCATTCACATAACTAATCACTCTCCTTAATATCAGTTCACTCTGCTTAATTTCTAAATTACTCTTCTTATCAAAACTGGGAGACTTTTTTTGAGGGGAGCGATTTTTTTCAATTCGTTGATTGAGGGGAGCTTTTTTTGGCTCTCCTCTGAAATACAAACAAAAACGACCGTCACATTACATGTGTATCTACATCTTGCTAACATAGTAAGGGGCTTTGATTTGAATATTCTTTTTGTTGCAGGCTGAAATTGTATAAGAGTGGATATGGGCAGGCTTTTAGTTACACTAATTAGGACTATAATGCCTTGGAAATCAGAGGCGACTAGTATGTGTCTCTCTTTTGTGGACCGATGTCAGATTGTCCGTTGTATTAACTGGACGGGTAGGCCTATTCACCTTCGGTTATGTGGCGATGTCAAATGAGCGGCTTCTTATCAACAAGATCGGCTCTGGACCGGTTTGATTCTACATATCTCTTGTAGCTGAGAGAATAAAGATTTTTTAGCCGAGAGAATATCTTCCGTCAAAGTGGTGGTTGATTCCAATCAGTCTAAAGAGTTCAATATGAACGAAACTAGTCACTGACATTCAGGATAACCAGGTCTTCATAGCCACCTTATCTCTTATATTATTACACTAATTAGGCTTTCATACTTTCGTCTGAAAGTCTATTGTGATTACTAAAATTATTATTATTATTCTTTATCCTTACCGCCTATATCTCGAAGATTTTTGGATAGGTGAGGTCAATGTGATTCCAGTAATATAAGTTTCATTCAGAGTTATCGCCCTTTTTCAAATATTTTCTCTACCCCTTATTTTTTTTTTTAAACGGAAAATTCGATATTTCTGAGACATGATGTCATATGGTCAAACCAAGGGATAAAGCTATCCCGACAATGATCCGGAAGTAGTCGAAATAATGTTTGAATTTTTGAAAAACTGCAAAAAAACTGATGCTTTGGAAAAAACACGATTTCTTCATGGAATATTATCGAATCAAAATAATTAATGCATCGTTCGGCGGCCTGATAAATAAATTACCGTATGATACCAACTTCGTACCGATTCGATGATAAGGACGAAAAATGTGGCACATCGAAAATGAAGAATTTTCTGAATTGGAGCGTTTTTGGAGGCCTTTATCTTGAAAAGTACTACTACAGCGATTTTTCTAAAAACATTCTATCTGGAGAGTCCTTTTGGTGGTTTGCACAGGAAGACATCCAATAATGCTTTGAAATAACTGGAATAGGCCAAATAAGGTATTGAAAATCAAAAAATGTCAAAAAATCATTAAATTTTGGAAAATGGTCTATTACTTTTTTTCATTTTTACAGATTTTCCAAAAAGGTTTATATATTTTGATAGCTGACCTGATTACAATTCTAAGGATGTATAAGGAGTTACTGAAATTTAATTTTAGGAAATTTTGACATTTTGGGGACTTTTGAACACAGGATTTCTCGGGGCAATTTCATCCGATCAGATAATATACAGTGTAATATCATTATACAGCCCTGATACCATTCAAGTGCAAAAACTGATTGTTAAAACTATCCTGACATTAATCCGGATACCAGAAGTAGTCCAAAAAAAGAAAACAATTTTTTTTAAAAAAATGGTGCTCTTGCGAAAAACGTGATTTATTCGTCAGATGTCACTGAATCAAAAGAACTAAAGTGTTGTTGGATAGTCCCATTGATGGACTATAATATGACATTCAAATGATACTAATTCGATGGTTAGGACATAAATTATGGTACCAGTACACCCAAAATCTATTATTTTCCTATTTGGAGCCTTTTGTGACGCTTTTTTCTCGAAAACTACACCTAAAATAAAGTAAGTGGTCCAAAAAGGGCCCCAATCTTTGAAAAAAGTTGAAAAATTGTTAAAATACTGAGAACGGTCTTCAATTTTTTCAAAATTGCTAAATGGATGTTTTTAGCCAAAAACATGATTTCTACGCTAGATGTCACTGGGTCTAAACAACTTAAGTTTTGTTGGCTAGCCCGAATAATGGATAACTATATGACATCCAAATGATACAAATTCAAGGGTGTGCATCCAAATGAAAAAGCATTGAAATAATATAATTGGTCCAAAAAAGGGCCTCAATCTTTGAAAAAAAAAAATCGAAAAATCGGTAAATTACTGAAAATGCTCTTCCACTTTTCTTGATTTCTAAAAGCTGTTCAATGGATGGTCATGAACCTTCGGTAAAGGAAGTTATATATCCAGACCACTTGTTAAAAGTATTCGGACAATGATTTGTAAACCAGAAGTAGTCTAAAAATTATCTGCTATTTCGAGAAAAAAAAAACTCGTAAAAAATGGGTACTTTTGCAAAAAACGTGATTTCTCCGTCGGTTATCACTGGATCAACCAACTTATGTATTGTTGGATAGCTCGATTAATAAGCTATTGTATGACACTCTTTTAGTCTGCATCCTGAAAGCCAGTTCAGTGCTGCTTGCAGGTCTAGTCTAAATTAGAG